GTGCCCCCTGTGCAGCCAAACCCCTGTCTCTGTGCACGGGCAGGTCAGCAGAACGTTGCAGGGAAGATGCTGCACGCCTGTTTTACACCAGGTTGTAAAAATCTGTGAAAGCCTTCCATAGAAAACTGATGGGCAGGCCTCCCTGTAATGCAAAGCAGCCTGTGGTCTGTTTGCACTTGGAAAGCTTGGAAATGGGAGTGAGGTCTGCGTTGGCACAGGGAAAATCCTGAATCCTCACAGCCAGCAGTGCTGGCAGCCGGAGATGATCATTGTCAATAATGCGCAGGAAGATTGTGCTCCATTGTTGCGGTTCATTATTAAATTACATAATTTTCATTTTTTCCATCCTTAAGCTTTACCACTTAAAATGGTTTGTCCTATGCAATCAAATGTGATCCTTGAGCCTCAGCTCAAAATCCCAATAACAATGAGCATTCTCTGGAATGGAAAAACAGAAAGAAAATAAAGGGACTCTATAGTAATTCACTTAAATATGTGTGTAGGATCTAACCAAGAGCCTGATACAAAAATACTGAGTGATCTGCATCCAGACCACCACTTTGAAGGCACAGATACAATATCTTGGTGCTAGGTCAGCCTGATCTCCTGACCCCAGGGAAAAATGCCTCTGGCATGAAGTGGGGCAGCAGGCAGAATAATTTTCTCAAGGATTTTACTAGCTCTCAGATGAGAAATTTGATCGCAATTTAAGCTCCCCAGTATAGCATTTGCAATGGACTTCAAGTTTTGACATGGTGATCCCTGTGGCTCAGCTGAAGAGAGGTAACTTTTAAAGTGAAATTCATGCAATTGCTTATGATGATGTCAGTGAAAGCCAAGATGTGGATACTCAAACATTCTGAGTTCAAAACTGACAGAATTGTTTAATTGGTATGATTGCTTTTATAACACACCAGGCAGCCATGGGGGAACTGAGCTGAGTATTAGAGAGCAGGAAAGAGTCTGGACTGACAAGTAACAGCTTTGTCTAAGCTCAAGAATCCTACTCCACCAATAATTAGTTGCTAATGGGTCCAAGTAAGTACTCAAATAATTTTTTAAAAAATTCCTCATGCTAGCAGCTCTCTGTGGTCCACATTCAAGTGTGCTGTGAAATGTTGCTGCAAGTCATTGCCCTGAGATTTCAGCTAACCACCAGACTCTGCTGTATTCAATGCCTTTGGATGCTCTCCTTTTCAGATCCAGTTTGGTTTAATTTGTGGATTTAAATCCAACATCACATCCTTCTCCTCCACGACTAACAATAGGTCTTACAGCACCTGAGTTTGGATTTCCAGCCAGGGTTTGGTTTCTTGGCCCTGCTGTCCTCATGTACCAAGGCCTGAGCTGCAACTTCCCTTTTCTTGGTGCTTTCACTTGCCACAGTCTGGTTTGTGCTGGCCATTGGGAATTGCCTGGATTGCCTCCTTCTAGGCCAAAACAGAACTGATGAAACCCAGCAATGCTGCATTAAAAACCAAACTAACTGAAACAAAGCAATCTTTTTAAAATTTTTTTTTTGAGGTTCCCTGGACCAATCTCTTTTTGTCAGGTAGAGAAGACAGGAAATTTGTGTGTTCTCCCAAAAGCAACATCAGAGATTTTATGAGTTTGTGGGTTTTGTTTATCCTTTTTGAGCAGGGAGAACCCAAAATACCCAAAGTGGAGAGAGGAAGTGACAGCCTGAGCCCACACACACTGAGAGGAGGAGGCAGAGACAGGATTTCAGCAGCCCAGGCTGAAGGAAGGATTCACTTAAGACCCAGTGATTCACGCTGGAAAAGTTGCTCTGCTTTTTCAGCCTTTCTTCCCCCTCCTGCCTCTTTGTTTGGTTGTGTTGTGTTGCTCCTGGGACATCCAGGGTGACAATAAGGCAATTGTTCCTTCAGGAACAGGCCTCAGTGAAGCAGTGCAGAAAAAGTGACAAGGCAAGAAAATATGACAAATATTCTGCACTTGGAATACTGCCATTTCCTAGTGTGTATTCCTGAGAAGAAATATACCCATCAAGATATTTATTTCAAACAGGGAGTTGCCAGTTGTGTTTCTCCTCTTTTTGAGAATCTAAAGCTCAGATCTCTTCCTTGCCTGCCCTGTAAGGAACAAATGCACCCAATATCAATTATGTTTTTAATCTCTAAGACCCGGTCTCCAAATGTGTTTGTGCCCGTGTATACACGTGAACTATCTTCCCTTTGTCTTCCTATCCAAAATGCAAAAGCATCTCAGATGTTGTGATTCCTCCAGGTTTTTCCCCGTGGGAGGATGGAAACATGTAACATTATCTTCTAGCTGCCTACTGCCAGTCTCTGAAATTAGCATTTCAGTGACTGAAAGGTAGTTAATTTACACACACACACACACACCAAAAAAATATTAAAAAAAAAAAAAAAAAAAAAAGAGAAAAAGGAGGGTTAGTACAAAGCTGACACTAATAGTAATAGGAGATGAGGGAGAGGATACAGGACACGTTGGATTACTAAATGAAAACTGTGATTTTACCAGATGTGCTAACAGAACAATGAAAGGCGCTTTTACAGAATAAATTAAATCTTCGAGTTTTTGCAATTAGTTACCTCAAGAAAGAAAAGCCTCACAGGACATGTTAGCACAGAGTTAAAGGATGACTCTTTTACTATCCTAAATCTGGCTTTTTTTCCCAAAGAGTTTTAGTTTTTATTTCTGGGATGTTCTCCAGATGAACAAGGGCAGAGTAGGTGCTATTGGATGCAAAGCTGAGGAACAGCACAGACACTCTGGTCTCATGTTAATTAATGGAGTCTGTTGTTTATGGCTGTCATGCCAACAAATCACTCGTTGCCCAAAAATTAATCACGTCTCCTGTGTGGGGGTGCAGCCCAGGTGGCTTGGCTTCACCCTTCCAAGAGGGATGGCCAGGGCTGGAGCCATGTTTCAGCAGCTGGCTTTGCTAGGCTTGGCTCAGAGAGGCAGGATTTGGAGGAGCACTAAGGAAAAAAGTCTGAAGAAAACTTTTGTCTTTTCTCTTTCTCCTTCTATACCAAAAGATTCCATGTTTTTCCCTGTGGCTGAAGAAATTCCTGTCCCAAATCAGTAATATAAGGCTTCCAGGCTTCTCCTTTTCTATCAGAAAGTTCATTTCTTTTAGCCTCAGTAGTGGAGAGGGAATATGGTGGAAATCTTGGTCTTGGCTCTTTGTTTCCAGCTGAGCTCTGTTCAGAGTCTGGAGCTGGGTGGAAAGAGTTGCTCTGTGCTGCTCTTGTGAGCAGAAACCTCAGGGAGCTGCCAGTGGAGATCAGAGTGCCAGTGCCCCTCGAGAAGCTGCTCAAGTTATCATTGTGGGGCCCCAGTGGTGTCCTGGCAGACACTGAACAGTCAGGGAGAGCAAACATCCACGTAATGGAATGTGCCAAGGATGGACTTGAGTATCCACACCTGGAAGGAATTTGGTCACTGAAATCAGGGCAGATGCACAGCTGGGAAATCCCTGGGATTTTTCCATTTGTTTCCAGCTTTTTATTTTAAAAGGCTTGAAAAACCTCTAAAGAAGCCCTGAGTCAAATCCATAGGGGAAAGAGAGTTGAGAGAGGAAGGACCATATTTGTGAAATCACACAAAAAATGTTGATGATGTTTAGGGCAGGGGATAAAAAACCCACATTCTTTTTCCCTTTTTTTTTTTTTTTCTTTTTTGGTAGGATTGTAACAGTTTTTGACATGTGGTGGAGAAACCATGAATGTGGCAATCCCCATTTGGAGTGGGCTCCTCTCACTTCTTTCAGCACTGTGTGACCATGGCTCCCTGCAAAGTCTGAAATAGATGTTGGCTCCTATTCTGGCATCTCCCATGGATCACAGCCTGACATTATCCAGTGTGGGACTGCTCAGCACAGGGCATTTTACCCCTGCTGGGACAGTGGCTTCCCAGATGGCCAACAGGGACATGGTGGGGATTGCTTCACTGTCTGAGCTCCAGTTGTGGAGGGAGCAGACATCTGGTGGTGCTGGAGAGTGGATGAACCAAATTCCTTCGTGTCCCTGTGGCCTTGGATGCAGCATGGGAGCTGCCAACCTGCTGTGGCCCCCTCAGGGGAGCTCTGAATCAGGACTCTTAAACTCATGGTTACCTTTCAATAAGATATTTCTCTTTTTCACTCTTATTTGAAGATGGTTCTGCCACCTCCCCACCTTTGCTAGATGATTCCCATCCTCAGTCAGAGTGGCTGCCTTTTTTTTGGGAAAGCTTCCCAGGAGGGAAGAGTAGGAATAATATTTATGTGTTTGAGGTTTTTTTCCTGGACAATTTTTAGACTTGATTTTGGAGCATTCACAAGGAAAAATTAACAGTCTCTGCTGATGAATTTGGTTATTTTAAATCAGCAAGGGAGAGGGTGAGAGCAGAGCCCCTGGGGCTGGTTCAGGTGCTTTCCTGCAGGCAGTGTCCCCTGGGTTAGGAAATGTGGCTGCTGGGCACTCAGCAGGGGTTGGGTTGCAGTGTCCACTGTGCTGGGCTCCTGCAAATAGTTTAAATGGAACCAGTATTATTTGCTTCCAGCAACTTGGGAAGAAATTCTGGGGAAAAGAAGCTTTTTGAAGACTTAAAAAAATTACTTTCCTGGTCCTCCACGGTATTTAAAAGTCAGGATAAATATCAGTCCTATTCTTAAAAGTTCTTCATCTCAGTAGGACCACAAATCTGATGTCAGATTTTAGGCACCCATTTTGGAAGCGGGTGAGTCAGCTGCAAGATTTGCAGCTTTCACCAGTGTCCCAGACCAAATAAAAACTGGAACTCCAGAGGATGGTTTTTAACCTTCCTTGCCACAATTAAAAACGTTGTGTTTAATATTAAATGCACATTCATTTTTAATCCAGAAGCCTGGCTTTCTGTTCTGAAATAACCCATTTGTAATGGGTTCTTCATCCAAGCAGGGGAAAGAAATATTTGGTCCTGGAAGCCAGTTCCATAAAGAAACACAAAGAGCATCTTTCTGAATAGCACACAAGTGTGAAAGGAAACATGCAACTGCTGGAGAAATGGAATCATTTGTACTCAGTGAAGGGAAAAAGAAGAAGAAAAAAAAAAAAAAAAAGAGAAAAAGCTTTTGAAAGGGAGATCTGTGACTGAAGCTCTCCAGAACTGTTTAACCTGTTGGGGATATTTAGCAGATGAATTCTGACCCACGTTCTCCACTTTGCTGTACCCTGTGACAGAGCGACGCAGCATCTGCCACTTGTGTTCCTCTCCAGACACGCTCACAATGCCGGAGGAAACGGGGGAGAAAATTATGCAAATTGCTCTGAGCAGATTACTTTGACCAGCTGCTCTTCTTCCTCCTCAATCAAAGGTCTGCCTGGGAGAGCCAATCTAGATTATATATGTCAGTCGCACGCTCCGAGGCTGAGCCGCTGCCTCGCCGTCCCTTTTTCCCAAACAGGGGCGGCTCTGACAGCGAGGTAAAATGCGGAGCACTGGGGATATCAATGGCTCAAAGCAGGGCACAAGGGGCTGGGAATTCCTTTTGGGTTTTGTGCAGTAGCACCTCACCACGTCGCTTGCTGTTTTTTTTCAGGGCTATTCCCAGAGAAAGTGGTTCATCTCCATGCTAACAATTATTGAATTTTATTATAAAGCATGATGATATGTGGCAGAGAGGGGAAGAAAAATGAGCAAAAAGGCTCCCCAGACGGTGTGTTCACAGCATGGCCTTAGGTGATATTATTAAGCACATGGGCTGAAAGCTGAGTAGCTTTACCCTATGTAGACAGGGGTGTTGCTAGATTTTTTTGTTGTTGTTGTTGTTGTTGCTTTTGCAAAGTGAAATTTATTCATGAACACAAACTGGAGGCCATCCTGCTGACGTGTGTTTCCAAACCTGCCAGACGTGGCCGTGGTGTCACCCTCAGACAGACCCAGAGCTCCAGCCACGTCCAGGCTCTCCCTCCCTGCCCTCTCCTGCCACATGCTGCCTACCTTGTGTCTGTAACAGTGCTCAGAGTCCAGAAAAGACTCCACAGCTTCATAAATGATTAATATATTCTTCGTTAAAAAAAAAAAAAAAAAAAGAGGATAAAGAATGCTGCTGCACCAGAGAGCACCTAACCCTGGCAGAAAAAAATACAGTGCTGTCACAGTCTGGTGGCAAGCCAGATTTCACTGCCTTAAATCACCATTAAGGTTTTTCCCTAAGTTTGATGGAAACTTCGCTTTTTTTAAATCCCATATACAAATCAGAGGAAGTCCCATGTTAGCATGTGATAAAACACACACACATAAATATGTGAGCTGAGCGTGGCAGTGGAGCAGTGGGGATGCATCCTCTGGAGGCTGCAGTGCCAGGCAGGGAGCCCTCACTGTGCTTCAGAGAGAGATTAATAATTCTCATGCCCTAGTTTATTTTTTATTGGTCCTATCCTATAGATTTTTTTCCCGTGCCAGAATTGCTGAAGATTTTAGCATTTCAATATGCATCCCCTCCCCTGAATTTCTAATCTCATTCAGCAGGTGCTGAGGACCCACCAAACAGGCACAGAGTACCCAGGCCTGGAGTTGCTTTGCTGACCTGCAGTCTGGAGTGTGTGGTATCACAGTTTGACTCACTTTTTAATTGTTTTTTCCTATTTTTTGTCCCCCAGTTAATATGGGAGGGGGTATGATCAGTGTAAACAAAAAGAGGAATCAAGCCAGCAAATTTTAATGAGTGGGACAAAGATTTGTAACAAAAGCTGTGTGTTTTGAGATGCTCAAGGCAGTTAGCACAAAGGTGCAGACCCCTCCTTGCTTCCCACCATCACTTGTTAGTGGTGAAGATGACAGTTTTAAAATTTAAATCAGAAAAAAATCATTTTAATGTATTAATCATGTGATGTGAAAACTAGATAAGTTAATGCAACTGAATACAGCTATTTTTTCCTTCTCCTGGTCTTTAGGTGCTTTTAAAAAGTTGTTTCCTCATATTTTTCCAGTGTTTAAGACCATGATTTGATTTTAGCAGAAGTAATAATATTGTTCAGAAGTAATATTATTGTTTATGCTGCTGTTTCGTGTACCATGCCCTTAACTTCCTTTGCAGAAAATGTTTATAAAAAGGAGACAGTGACAAATAAAGCCCACTGCAGGTTTGCCCTGTTATTTCTGGATTGTAGGTCCTGCCTCAGTGTGAGCTGACTGAGGAGTCTGTGGGACTTGCTGCTCTGTCTAATTTCTGCTTGCTGCCAGGTAAGTCTGAGCAGCCCTTGTTCAGGGAAAAGCTGCAATTATAGCTGTGATCTTGACACCAGAGTTCACCTGAATTTCTGGAGAAGTTTGTGGAGGTTTGGAAGCTAATGAGCTGCAGCCAAAGCAGGGGGAGCTCTGCAGCCACTTCTTTAGGGGGGTTGATGTTCCTCAGCACCGGGTGTTGTTATTCAGCTTTTCTGCCTTGCTCTGGGCTCACAGAGTGCACGTTCTCTCTTTATTTCTCCAAGCCTTGGCTCTATTCTGCATTATCAGGGCTGTCTTGTACAAAGAATTGTATTGATGGAATGAAAGTTAGCAGTGAAAAAAAAAACCAACAAAACCAGCCCTTGAGATATGATGAATTAGCTGCAATTTCAGTGGTAAAAATGGTCTCTCGTAGCTGGCTATTAACTACACTCTGGTGAATACATTTTCATGCAAGAGATGGTTTGCTATTTCAAAGGAGTCTCATTGAGACTTGATCAAGTTATTTTCAAAAGTTTAAAGTATTATTAGCTGGTAAATCCTGCTGCTCAATTTTACAGTCACGTTTTTTATTTGCTGTTGCTTCTCTGTGTATATTCTGGGTGGGCAATGAAGGAAAAGTGGAGCTAACTACCCTGGAGAAATGGGAAATACAGAAATACTTCCCTGTTACTCTGGCTGTAAGGAAGTATGACCTTGTACTTCATGGTGCTGTGGAGAAGCTGAAAATCACTCCCTCACCAGCCTGCCTGCATTTCTAAGCTGCAGCCAGGATTGTCCTTATCTTTCACAGAGCACAGTCACTGATGTGCCATCATGGGTCATTTGTTATAAAACTCTGTTTGCTATTTTTAACACTCAGTCAAGAGGATTTTTTTGTTTGTTTTATTTTGGTTTTAGATTAACAAGGAAAGGAAAAATCCAACCAGCATGGTAGCTCAAAAAGTTCAGCAAAATGAATTCTGTCACATCAACATCTCTAAGAAAGGCAGGAGAGCAGAGGCTGCTGCTGAGAGCCCATCAGGAAAGGCTGGTCCTGAGCAAGCCTGGGAGATGGATGTTACTGAAGAGCCACAGATCAAAACAATTAATAATTGGCAATCCAGCCTAGTGGCTAATGAGTTCTGTATGGAACAGCTACCCCCTCACCTGAAGAAAGAAGTTTCTTTCCAGGTCTGGACTGGCCTGGACTGTTTCTGCAAATGATCTGAGGGCATCTTGGATGCACTAATGCCATCGGAAATTTGAAATCTGTAAGGTATTGGATCATCCTGCATTTACTGAGGCTCTGCAGGGAACCTTAATTACAGAGAGGAAATGACTTGCCGACATTTGCACTTTCCTGCCTTGCCATTGAATTCATCATGGTCAGTGTTTTCCTTGTCTACTCTCAGTTTACTCGGGCTGTAACCTCAATGGATCCTTCACTCAATCCCAGTTAGCCCAGGCCAGTGCCTGGTTAGGAGATATCTAAAGGAAAACTCACCCAGTGAATAATTTCTGTTGAACCAAAATTTTTAGGGACATGTTCTTATTAAAAATACAGCAGATCCATGGTAAAATTCTTGTCCATGTTCACCGAGTAAAGGAACAGCATTAACTTCTGTGCCCTACCTAAGTTCTAGCTCTGGCCTTCCCTGAAACCTGTAATTTCAGGTCAATCAAACTGAACTTTAGTGAACTATAGCAATTTTTTGCTGCTGACAGTTGCTGACAGTCTTCCATCCCAGAATTTACTGCATTTCACTATGGAGTATTTGCTGAACAAATCCCTGCACATACAGACAACTGGACAATCACATGAGCTTGTTCATTCTCAGTTCAGTCAAGTCTTAAAAGATAGGATCTTGTTTTCATGTCTTGAGAAAGGCATTGACTTAATATAAACATGTCTGTAGAAAAGCAGTTTTGAATGTGCCCAGTGCCCCTGTGGTCAGCAGATGGAAATGGAGACCTGTTCTGCTGCAGCAAGGCTGCCCTGCTGCACCATCTCCTTTTCCCTTTCCTCCAAGACATTGTTGGCTTCTAAAAGTAATTCTATCATGGTAGCACATGGTTCTTCCTCTTAGGATGCCTTGTGAGTCAGACCCACATAGGATGTGAATATTTTATTTTTAAATTCACGTTACTGTCCATGGCACTTCCAGGGCCACAGAGCCAACAGTGAGAGAACAGGCTCTGCTCAGCCTGTCACACTGAGATGCACCAAGGTTTGTTTGCTGAGTTCCTCCTGACTTTAGTACTGCACAGGGTTGTGGACTTACCCCATTTCCTTTCCAGATGCACCAGCTGAAGCTAAAGCTGGAATTGTGGATGCAGGTTTTCCTGGCCTGCAGAGTGAGCTGGTTTCACAGGAGCATCATCAGGGGAGAAGAAGTAGAGAGAGGACCTGTCTGATCTTAACCACTCCTAAGGGCCACCTTGGTGCTTCTGAGCAAGTTCTCAAATGAAGTAAGCAAGGGGTTCTCTCTCAATTCAGTCTTGTAATGCCTTCCCTCTCCTTCCTCTGCCCCCTCCCCAAAATCCCAGGAAGGCAGTGAAATCCGACAGGCTGTGAGAGCAGGGCTCTGCCCTGCTACCAGGGTACCCACCACTAAATCTGAGAGGAACTCGGGGACATTTCTGTGACTGAACAAGTGACTGCTCTGTCCTGGGGGTATAAATCTAATGCAAGCTTGTCAGCATAAGCCTTGTATATTTATGGGAAGCTTTCAGAGCAACTGCACGGGATCAGAGCTTCTGTTCAGCTCCAAGGCACAGCATCCCCAGCACGGCTGTGAATGGAGAGCGTGTCCCAGGCACACTCTGCTGCCTCACTGCCGAGCCCTGCAGAGCAGTGATGCATTTGTACTGATTTGTCACTCCTGGAACTGGTGTAAGAGACCTGGAGTGGGAGCGTGAAGGATGGAAGTGACACCAGGGTAAGGGCAAGGAACATTGGCACTATATTTAGGGCAGAAGCAGATAGTGGTAACAATTGCAAGGATCATATATAATGCAGTAAAACTGTCTGCCTGAAATATAAACAAAAGCCCTTTCCTGAGGCAGTGAGGGGTGATCAGTCATGTTGACAGTCTCCTCAGCTAAGCAGCCAGGACATCTCATTCAGAAAGCGTGGACCAAGTGTAGGGCACTGCTGATTCCTTTAAATGCATCCTGGAAAAAGCATCTTTGCTCTGGTCCAGAGGAATGTCTCCTCTCCAGATATTTTACATGAGCTTCATGAGTGTGTGCTGGCACCTTTGGTGTCTCCTCTACCCTGAGAAGTACAAGGGTGGTAAGGGCCAGGATGCAGCAACAAATTGTAAAATTTGAGTTAGTTTGGAGTATGTTCAGAATCTGAGCAACTCAAGGAGATATCCTGGTCAGCTGTATTGGATCACAAACCCAAACATAATAATTTAACTCCTGGATACATTCATTTTGCTTCTAGGATATTTCCTTTAGCCAGCAAATCAGCAGAATTCAGTTCTGCACAAATATGCCTCAGAACTGAGGAATGGGCTCTGATCTGCCCTTTCACATATTTTTCTTTCACCTCACATGGAGTAAATGGGAAAATTTCAATATCCTTCTTATATTGTTTTTACCCTTTCCCAAGAAATCCCTTTTTGGCCACTCTCAGTGAGAAGATGCTGGCTGTATCTCAGCTAGCACATTTATACCTATATTGTGGTAAGGAGGAAAACTACTCTCATTCTTCAAGGAGCAGAAAGGAAGCAGATGCCACCCATTCCTTCCCAGGGTAATTCCCAATTCTGGAGAGCATCATCTTTTCCAGGCAGCACCAATAAAATAATGGCAGAGAGCTCTGTGAGCTCCAGACTCCTCTGTGTGTTCCCTGTCCTTTGCTAATTCTTTACCTGGTCTAGTTTTAAAAGCCTCAGAAGAATGAAATTCCACTCTGAGATATCCAGATACAATTCAAGAACAAACCCTTCAAAGTGGTAGGAGGAAGGTAAGAGATACAGGGGGAACCTGATCCCCAGGCTCTGCACAGGAGGAAGGTGCTTGATTGCAGTTTTATTGTTCCTCATGTCAAAGCTGACGGACTGTCAGGAGCAAGAGGCTGTCCCTGGGGAAGAGTGGCCCAAGGCTGGGCTAACGGTGGCTCCTCTGGGTCCAAGGGCAAGTGGCAGGGAGAGGCTGGGGCTGGTGGCAGCTGTGATGCTGCTGTGCATTACTGAGGCTCCCACCAGCCAAGTGCCCCCTTCCTATCAGCTCCCAAACTTGGCTACCAACCCTTCATTTACACACATATTACATTCACTTGTTAATTAGAAGAAGTAAATATGATGAGCTTTTGATATAGTTCAAAGGAGCAATAGCCAGTTTCTTGATTCCCAGGTTGGCAGCCGTCCTTCCTGTGTGCCCCAGAATCAAAGTGCAGCTCTTGCTCCAGCAACTGTCAGGCTTTTTGCATCTTTTGATCAAGAGCCTGGCTGCAGAAAGAGGAAAAACCAACACCCAACTGTTTGGATCTTTTCCCCTACAATTATTATCACATCCATTACTCAGCAGAAGCCTGGGATGCCCTTTCATTCTTACACAAATACTTTCTTTTGGGATTCATTTAAAGTTTCCTTGTGCGTGAAGTGGTCACTTGTCAGCCATCCACCTGAAAGGGTGAGGCAGAGAAAGCACAGTCAGCTAAAAAGGAACCCTGGCTTCAAGCATTTATAATGAATATTGACAAAAAGAGGGGGTGGGGAGGAGTGGGAATCAAAAGCTCGAAAATTGCTGATTAGGCAAAAGCCGACTGCCTCCTGCCTATGGAGAAAATGGCATCATTAGAGGGATGCAACAGGACTGGCATTATGCAATGCCTGGTCAGGAGCAGAGAACTGCACAGCAGCAACTCCCACTCGGACCAGAAAAGCAGGAGATTTGTCTGACCTGTGAAATTTCAGTCTTGGAAAATTCCAAGCTCTGGTGGTCCCCAAATTGAATCACCCATGTGGAACAGCCAGAGATGCCCCACAGCCCAACACCAGGAGCCCTCAGCAGGCAGGAGTGGGGGACTCTGCCTCCCTGTCACAGATTACAGCAAACCCTGTGACAGGGAAGCCATGGAGTCTGGTGTTTCTGTTCCTTCTCAAGTTTTACCCCTAATCTAAGGGTACAAGTGAACCACAGATCAGGTGACTCAAGCATGGAGTGGGATGGAGCAGCACCTCCAGCTCCTGGTGATGCTTTATGAGGCTACCTGGAACAGAGGCTGGACAGAGTTAAAGGAATAAAGCAGGGATTTATTAAAAAGCCTTCACAGGATACACCTGGGGCAGTGCAAGAGCCTGGCTGTGGCTCCACCCAGCATTGACCGGAGATGGACCCTGGGTCACGAGTTTTCACACTTTTATCAGTTTTGGTCCATTTCCATATTGGAGTTAATTGTCCAATTCCAGCTCCAGGTTCTGCAGTCCCATCCTCCCAAATTCCCTCCTCAATTCGCTGCTGTTTGCACTTTTTGGAGCTGAAGCTGCAGTGGTGTCCTTGGTTCTGGGGCTGGAGAATTGTTTTGTGTGACTGAGCTGTGAGGAGAACTTGCAACACTTTATATGAAGTTCAGAGTTCTATCCTAATGCAGTACAGAATCTGGGAAATATGAAAGCTAAAACTTCAGGCACCACTGGACACCTGCAAAGAGCCAGGGGCTGGGGACACAGCGAGCTGAGCCTTCCCTCTGCACATATTTAATGGTGAGAAGGGCTGGGGGTGCCAGTGATGACCAGCCTTTCCTGGCTATTGGGTGCCTCCCAGCTGATGAATGGTGCTCTCAGGCTGCCTGGGTGCACAGTGGAAAGGAAAACCAGCAGGGCTGGGATCTCCTGGTGTTGCTGTGCCAAGAGAGATGGAGATCACTAATTAGTTATTTTTTTGGTTTCTTAAACAATCTCCAAGCATTTTCTGCAAGTCAGGACTGGAAGGGGAAGCTGCAGCACTGCTTCCCATCTCCTCTCCTCTCTGCTGAGCAGATCCAGGCCTCTGGGATATGGATTTCAAGAGCAATAAATTCACTCTAAAAATTTTAAGAGGATGACGCAGAAAACTTCAAAAAAGCAAGCAAACCAGCTCCACACAATAAAAGCCATTTCTCTCCTGCTGTCTCTCTCTAGTTACAGCGTGACACATCAAGGTCAGACACCCTGTCCCACAGGAGCTTGGCTTTGTGCAGGGTGAGAATCATCCCCTAATGGTGGCTGATGTTTCAGAACAATAAACTACTTATATAAAACCCAGGATTCTCATAGTGGGACACCATTTCCAGCAAGTGTTCCCTCTCAAAGGGCAGGAAGCCCTGAGCTGGAGTGCCTTCAGGAGGTAAGAAGAGTCAAAGAGAGGTTTAAGCTGTGACTGCTGGTCCCAGGTCCTGCTCCCGCGTCCGACCACATCCCTCGTGCCAAGGAGAGCTCCCATCCCAGCTCAATAAATCACCCATTCGTGCCAGGAGGTTTCTCTATGGCACAAGATGAACTCAACAGCAAGAATAATAATCCATATGTTTGTATTTGTGATTAGCTGCTCTGGAAGATAAAACTCAGAAAGCTCTGCTGGAGCATCACAAATGTGGCAGCACCCAGAGCCCGCGATGCTCTCGGTCAGGAAAGGGGATGGAACTGGGAGCCCCTCCCTGCCTGGAGCATTTCCACCCCATCAGTCTCCTCCATTGGTTTCCCTTGTTTTGGAAAAAAAAAAATCTCTTTTTTTTTAAATTTTTTATTTTATTTTATTTTTTTATTTTTTTTATTTTTTTTAATGCAGTGACTTTTCTTGTGCGTAGTCTCCTAAATGAATGCACAGGCTGTTTCTGGCGTGCTTTAAACCTTCATGCATTTTTAATGATTTACAAGGAAAAGAATTTTTTCTCTCTTTCTCTCTTTCCTTCTATTCCCCCCCTTTTCCTCCTCCTTGATTCCCTTTTTCTTTCCTTATGAAAAAAAAAAGTAATGACTTAATACATATCAAGTGGAATTGCTGGTTTGTGGTGACGGTTTTATAATTCCAGGTTCAAGTTTTTTCTATTTAATTATGCACTATAATTCTCATGAACTATAATGCAATAACAAAAGCATGCACCAGAGTTGGCACAAGTCTGTTCTTTATTAGAGTGGGTATGGATACTGTGCTTTATGTGTGAAATAAAATATTTGGACCTAATGCTGAGTCTGTTTCTTTAGAATTGCACAGAGTGCTTCTTCCTTTCAAAAACTGAAGCTGAGGCTCTCTGTTCCCTGTCTGGCCTGTTTCTCCCCTGATAAATTCACTTGTACTTCATTTCACGAAGCCTTATTTGTTTGTAACTGCCTTTGTGATGCCTTAATTGAATAGAGAGTTCATACATTAACCTGAAGTCCTCTATAGTATCTTAGTTTATGAAGGTTAAAAGTGATTAACTGATGAAAGGCTGCTTGCTGTAAATATTGACATTTCCCCAACCTGCCAGGGTTTTGATTAGCTCCTGAAGTTGCCTTAACATTTCTGTTTATCAGGTTATCAGCATTTCCAAAAGCTTATAAACATCAGGACTTTTCTCATGCCAATTAATGTTTCAGACCCTGAAGGCAGTGCAAAACAATAAATGGTGAGTACATTCATCACCATTGAGTGGGAGTGTATGTGTAATAGTAAGCTTGACTGTAAATATTTGCACAAATGGGACTAATTGTGCAAAAATTATTCTCACAGGCACTGTATTTCCTTTTCATTCACTTTTGACGATACTGTTTGTAAATCATTTTGGTTTTTGGAAAGAATACTCTCTGGAGCAAGCAGGACTGCATTTTACAGCTGCAAATGGTTTATTTGCAGGATTCTGCCTTGCCCAAAAGCAGCTTGGATTTGACAGCAAGTGCTGGTGAACTTTGTAACGTTTGTAGCTGGTGTTTTAGAGAATTCCTCTGAAATCTGCCTTTGGTTCTGGCTCTGACTTCCTCAGCATTTCCATAAGTGTTGCTGGCAATGAATATTTAACCCTTCTGCTTACCAGAATCTCGTAGAGATTAAAGGCTCCCTGGCCTGTAAGAAGTCAGATTTTGTGAGATGGTTACCTTTGAAATGCCTTGGGAGTAGCAAAATGATATCAGGTAACTTAAGTGCCCTGTCATGCAGCTTGCAAAGTCAATTATATATATTTATATATATGTATAAAATAAACAAATAAAATGTACCTTTAGTAGTTCTTACTGCAAATTTCTCACAGGTGACCCAGATTCAGAAAGGGGAGGGGAAACCCTCCCAGACACTCAGGAGTTTATATCAGGGGCAATTAACCAGGGCAGTGTGGCTGTGACTGCCTGGGCTGGGAGCTGCTGGGATGTGCAGAGCTGCTGGGAATCTCTGTTACAAACCCTCCCTGCCCCTTCCCAAGCATTCCCCAAAGCTCCCAGCTTCTTTATTTTAAATTAAACATTGGGGGTCCAGGATCCATCCTTTGTGTGTCTGTTCCCATCCAGAGATGTGGGGAGGGGGCTGCCTTGCTCTGTATCAATATTTTTTTCTTATAATCTGTTTTTATGGTTGAGTTTTTCTTTAAAACTGTGCTTTGACCTGCCTAAAAGTCTTTTCTTTATTGTTTAGGGGTTCTGAAAATCTTCCTAATGAAGCTGAGCTTTCATCTCTGGCCGTGCATGTGAATAAGACTTCTGAAGTACTTGCAAGAGAAACAATTTATAATCTAAAAATATTTAAAGCAATTATGTTATCCTGGGTTAGGGGAAGTACAAAGTTTGTGCTTCTATTTTTTTCCTACCCAAACAATTTATGTGCATTTTTTCATTTGTGTCATCCCGATCTGAACTTCTCAAGGGCTTATGTTGCATTAAAGGCATGAATAATGAAAATATTAGTTATGGACTCATAAACCTCACCCTGAAGAGCTGTGGCATGTTGCAGACTCACTTGTAAGCGGGCAGAGAATTTCACAGCAACTCCCAGAGCTGTGACACCAACAAGGAGCAGTTGCAAAGAAAGCTGTGTGCTGAAACTTGTGGTGAAGCATAAAATCAAGTATTAAGTGACAAATCTGAGAATTGCTTAGTTTACCCATATTTCACTGATCCAGAACGATTTTTAGTAAAGAATGTGATAAAGAATGAGATGTGATGGTTTTGACAGTTCTGCTGTCCTTCCTCCTCCATCCCTGACTGCATTTGCTTCCCCACAAGCCCTTGGTTTAACCAAACCTTTTTTGTCATTCCCATTCAACCACAGGAAATAAACACCTGGACACAGACACCCTTCTGTTCCATCAGCCAGGAGTGCAAGCAGCACCAGGCCAAGTTCTCCAACCAGTGCATTGTCCCATGTCTCTGGAGAGGAGGAGGGTAAATAAATCACCTTCTTTTATGTATAAATGCCATTTATGCTGAAACTGTGCTGCATTTTAATAAAAACACTACAAGGTGTGCTGCTTTAATCTTAAGAGGACAATGTCTTTACCTTTTTTTCTTTGCTATTTGATGTGTTCCTAAGGGTGTGCTGCACATTCAGCTGCTGGTTTACTGCTGACTGAGGACCTTTTCATTTTCCTGCTGTCTTTGATACCTGCTTTTGCTACTTTTGTGTTCAGGCTTTAAAGTGAACCCACCGGCTGAGTGCTGCAAAGGTGGAGTGGCTCCCTAAATTCTCTTCTTGAGCTTCATACTGTAAAAGTGTGTGTAAAAGATGTGTTGGTGCCTGCTCTGAGGGGTGGGCGCTGTGACTGGGTGGGAAAGCTGAAGGCACTGCCAACATCTGCCTGGCATTAAGGCAGGCAGGTTCCAAATGCACTGAAACTGCCAAGCTCCTCTGGAAGTGAATGGGTGTGTGCCATCCCTTTGAACTCCCTGCAAAATCCAGGCTCTGTTTGCTGGGAAAAGGAAGCTTAACCTTTTTGTGTCAGCTCCACTTCCCTCACCTCTTTATGATGCACTGAAAAGTAATCCTGCACCTCCCTGAAAGAATACATGTCCCTGAACACCCATCCTGCCAGAATGAGCCACTTCCATGAGTCATGGCTGTAGAGGCTCCCCATCCTTCTGACTGAAAGGTGTTTAATGAATTTCATCTCAAATGTATCCTGAATTAGTAACAGCCAGGCAGATGCAGCTATTCTGGTGTTGAGTGTCAAAAAAAGAAGTTTTAAAAAACCAAAAGAGGCGCTTTACACATCTGAGCCTCTGGAAGGATGAAGCCAGGGGGCTTCCCTGGGAGCAGAGCTTCTCCTCTGCCACTCTGGATCCCATCTCAGCAGCAGCAGCCCCATCTAGTCCTGTTACCTGGTGCTGGCTTGCAGCACTGTGACACCCCCTGGCATGGCACAGCCAGCCCTGCTGGGATGGATTATTGATGCTGAGGAAATGGGAGTGTTACAAGGGCTTTGTTCAGAGCTGCTGAGCCAAATAACAGCACAGAAGTAGCTAAAAGCAGGGAGTGCCCATAAATTCACAAATGTGCTTGTTTAGCCATTGATTTAGATGTCTGGCCATTTATTCTGGTGGCCCAAACCTCCAGCTGTATTTTTTCTTGTATTTGCAATGGTGACTGTAAGTGTTGCAGGGAATCATGTGAGGAAAGCAAGACCTCAAAGGCAGCTGCAGAGGAGCCTTGCCTGGAAAGCTGCTCTCAGAGCCTAGAGGGGGTAGGGTGGAAAAAAGGAGATTTGTGTGTCCCCATGAACCTGTGTCCAGCCACCAGGGAAAACAGTGAGCAAATCTTGTAGCTAAAGAAATCGGTAAGGTTTTTGGGGCTCCTGTATGTTGATGTAAGCTGGCATCCAAGTTGGAGAGGGTCCCCAAAGGCTTGGCAGAAGGGCAGCAGCTCCCTGAGCACCACCCCTGTCTCTCCTGGTACCTGTCACAGCCTGGGCTGTGCAGCAACACCACTCACTGCAGAGATTATCAAAGTCATAAAAACGTCAGCTTCTGTATTTCAGCTCTGTAAACTGTAAACTACACGTGCACAGCACTCTCCTCACATCCTGTACAGCCAGCATGGGCTGCCTTTGGCTTTCTGCTTGGGTGACAGCCGGGATGTGTCCCACCCTGCTGACACAGGGCTGTGCTCCAGGCAGCTCTGGGTGGAGCTGGGCTCAGAGGGGTTCTGGGGTGCACGAAGGTGTGACAGCTGCACACCAGTTTAAAATAGGCTGTGATGGCCAAAAGGTAGCTGGAGTTTTTAATGCTGGTGTTGTCACCGTTGCTTGTGCAGGGTGGGTTGGGTATTTCAGGTTGCTGCAGCTGCTGGTTTGCTGTGAACAATATTTAGAGCAGTTGTTTCAAAAGGAATCTGTCTAAAATGCATCAATAATGTGTAGCTCTGGGTAATAAACCCCTCAGTTTAGGGGTGAATCTTGGCAGCTGTTGATCAGAAGGGGATCCCTAGACTTGGGATCTTGAAGTGATAAAAGAGGAGGCAGATTAATAATGTGGGAATATTGTGGAGCATGGAGCTGTGTGTGACTGGGAACACCAAGTCCATCAGACCTCTAAGAGCACACTGGGGTTTAACATCCATCCCTAGCAAAGCCACAAGGGTTTAGGCAGAGCTCTCCTGGCTCTGTGGGCTGGAGCTGCTGCTCTGTCCCTGTCACACAAACCTGCATCAGGGAGGGCTCACAGCAAACCACGGCCCCTTTGTCCCCCACATTCCAAGGGGAGCTGCAGGAGTTTGGAGCATGCTTTGATGGCTGTGCCAGAGGTCAGGTCTTTGGAGCCTGAGCCACGTTCTGATAAACTCCATGTGAGCCTCTCCATTGATTTCAGGCCTTTGTATCGGTCCCTTATCTGTGATTAAAACTTTTTTTTGAAATGGAACTTGGCAGGAAAGCCAGGTGTGAGTGTTATGTTCCTGGCAGGGAGCCAGCGCAGCCCCTGGTCTCCAAAGGTTGGTGGCCTTGGGTTTTGCACTCCTTTGCCTATTGTTAGAGCAACATCCTTCTGTTACAGACTGGTTTTTTTTTCCTTTTTTCTATTTGCAGAAGTGACTGGCCTTGCTGCACACATGGAAGTTTTAATAATTATTCCCAAGCAGCTCCGAGAGTTTTTTAACATGGAAACAAGTTCTACATTACTCGTTAAATTGGTCAAATTTCAATAAAGTCAGGAAAACATCTTGAAAACAGCATGAATATAATTTACAAAGAAAACAATCCAAGCGTTACTGCCAAAGAGTTTTCCAACAGGAAGGAAGAAAGAATTTCTCTTTCCCCCCACATAGAATGACTGTACTGTACGTTAAATTAGTGGTTTTGGGAGTGAAGGAAACCACCACAGGATCCACAATGTTAATAAGAGCGAAGCTGGTACCCGATGTGAGGATAGGTCTTGATTCTTTGTTACCTTCCTAGGTAGGCTGGATGAATCCTGGCTGCCAAAACTCATATTCCTGAAAGGAGCTTTGCATCCGCTTTTCATCCTAGAGGAGCTCTTGCTTGCTGTGTTTTTAAGTGTAGCAGTCAAACTCCATGCAGGGGCTGAAATTTGGATTCTCAGCAAGCATGGGAGTGAATGAGGTGCCCTCTTTCCCCTAATACCACGGTGTCCTTTAATTAATCTGCTGAATCAGAGCCTGCATGAACCCAGTGCAAACCCATGGGCTGACCTGTCCCACTGCAAACCTCTCAGGAGTCCTCAGATCAATTAATCTCATGCCCAAACCACGGTGCTCTGACCTTGGCTAAAGGGGCTCAGGTGAAACCTTTGTGATTTTCCTACTCAGTGTAAAAAGATGGGCAGTGTAGCAGAGCACTGGCTGCAAATATAATGCTTATTTCTTAACCAAGTAAATTCATACATGCCATGTTACATGTCCAAGCCATGTAAAGGGTTTTTTTTAAGTAGGCACTGACTGGAGGCATTATTGTTGTAATTGCTTGTACTATCAGCTGCACTACCTGAAAGGGAAATATAAACCAGACCCAAACTTGCCTGATGATAGAACGAGATGTAAAACTACAACTGTGTCTGGTGACCACATTTCGCAATTTTGAGATGCTTTTGCACTGACATGAAAGGTAATCTTTCCAAGTTTTTTGCAATATGAAACTCAGGCCTCAAGATCAGGGTCTGGACTGATTGCACATTCTCCCCTTTCTTTGAGAGGGACAAGTTAGTCCACATTGAACTTCACAAACCTTTCTGCTGAAATCTCATGTGAAATCCTAATAATTTTTGCAAAACATTTTAGTTTTGGTAAAAGAGCGATTTTTTTGCTTTAAAATAATCTCAGCAAACCTTTTATTAAGAACAGCTAGCTCCAATGCATTTTCTCTGTCGATTTGTACATAACCTTCCCCTGAGGTTCCTTTGCAACTGATACAGATGGGAGAGTGGTTGTGCACACCCACAAATACATTTTTGGAAGAGCTGTGTTTTGCAGTGAGGCTGCTGCACTGTTTAGTGTATGACACTTTCAGAAATGTTGTGAGGTTTAATTAACTAAAGCACTTTATCATCGTTAGAGAAATGCAGTTCTATTAGGTTATTACTAGACTTTCTAAGGGCAACATCTGTATAGGGAAGAATTAAAATTTCAAACTGGTGACAAACTATTGTTTTGCCTCCAATAGCATTGGGGGGGAGAAACATGGAATGGGCACAGCTACTTAATTAAATTATTTTGCACTTTTTTCCCCCTCTTCACTGTTATTTTAACAGCTGTGCTGCATCTCTGAGACATATTTGTCTTTATCTTTGGCCACTTTGTCAGAGCTGGCAGAAGGAATCTTAGGTGGGGTTGTTCTCTTAGAGAATTAAACAATGACCAAAACTTTGCTCATTTCTTCCATCATTATTTCAGATTTCCATGGCTTCATTTTGACTGAGCAATATACGGCTCTGCTCTGGAATATGGGAGCAACTCAAAGACTGCAGGGCCTTCAAGGGCCTGCCTTTTTCAGGAGAGTGTTCAGGGACTGCTCTGTGCACTGTACCATCCACCTATGCACAGACAATACAATAAAATGCTTTTACAGCATTTTAAAGTGCATAAAAGTGCTCAGGTCTATAGTTTGTGCTCAGGCAGAGTAAGGTACTGATGAGATGGATTTTATCTGAGCTAGGTGACTATTAGGGGTAGTAAACACTATTTAATATAAGCTATTTGAGATCCAAACAGTTCCAGTACTTTTTATTTCTTCTCTTTAGTGCCTGGTGACCATCGGAGGATTTAATTTGTCAATAGTTGCTACAACTACCAAAGCCACCTTCACCTGCTGCTGTGACAGAATATGATTAACAGGAAAAACCCAGGTACTTGTTTGGCAAACTGGTGTAAGAAATCTGTCTTTGAAGCTCACACTTGTATTCAGGGTTTGTTGTTTGGTTGTGTTGGTCTCAGTGCAGAG